GACCCACACTTGGCGGGGCGCATCCCAGGGGCTCAACCAAGACATGGGACACAGCCCTTCTCACGCCCCACATCTGTTTTCCTGCATCACCTTGTTTCCAAAATTTCTTAATACTATGTGACCAATGATGATTTTTTTATAGTTCCTTCTAGGTGTCTCCTGATTTAGTTTTCATGCCTGAAGTATATCAAAAGATAGTTGTCAGAAACTCTGATTCTCTTTTATTCACTTCACCTTACTAGCATCTCCAGGGTTGGATATTGAGAGAACAAGAATCAGGATAAAGGAGAGAGTTCCTGGGTTAGGGAGTTCCCTGCTGTCTTGCCCTCCTGAGTTTACAACAGGGATAGAGGCTAAGAACATAGTTTCCAAGCTTCTAATTTTTAAAAGACTGGTTACTATAGACTGAATGTTTCTGTCTCCCCAAAATTCATATGTTGAAACCGAATCTCATGAGGGTATTTGGAAGTGGGGTCATTCGGAGGTGCTTAGATCATAAGTGCTCTCATGAATGGGATTTGTCCCCTATAAAATAGACCCCCCTGTCTTCCATACCATGAGAAAATAGCCATCCATGAATTAAGAAGTGGGATCTTACCAGACACTGAATCTGACAGCACCTTGATCTTGGACTTCCCACCCTCCAGAATTGTGAGAAATATATTTCTATTGTTTATAAGCCACCTAGTCTAAGGCATTCTGTTACAATAGCCCAAGCAGACTAAGACACTGATGTTCTACAAGTCGTGTTTTTAGAAAAGTACTCAGATTTGGTGCTCTTGATTTTGGTGGTTTTTCTAGTTTTTCGGGAATTAAAGCTAGAAAACAATGTTGGAGATCCTGACACAGGTGGGCCCAGGTATGAACTGAATGACAGTAGCAAGGCTGAGCCTTGGATTCAGCTCTTGCTTTTGCCATTTACTTGTTTCTTGACCTCAGAAGAAGGAATTTCTTATCATGCACTCACTGTATTTTAATTATTCATTCATCCCGTGAATTATCTCTACTTTCTTGCTACCATAAATAGTTCCTTGATAAATTTTTTGATAAAAAGTCTGTAGGAAAATTTCCTTGGGGCATAGGCCTGGGCACACCCAACTTTACTAAATACACCAGGCAGTTTTCCAAACCATCTTCTGCAAAACTATCATCAGTAAACCACCACATGAAATTAAATTCTTACAATTCCCAACAATAGGTTATTTATACACCAGCTTTCTGATTTTGCCAGTCTGATGGGTGTTGGGTAGTATTTCATTGTTGTCTTAATTTGTATTTATCTGACTAAAAGTGAAGTTTTAAAAGCCTTTATATAATTGGTAGCCATTTA